CTTAGGAATCGTGGAAGGGGTCATGGAGGCGAGACGGTGGACCTTGAACTGCACCTATGAAGACTGAGAGCTGCAGTAGGCAGAGGATGGGGAGGGATTCATACAGAGGGAGCGGTGGGCGGGAGGGGTAGGAGAGGAAGCGGAGGCTGGGAAATGGGGGGGCAGTGGAGGAGCTGCAAATGCCACAGCACGTGGGAGTGGGGCAACGCGGTATTTCAAGAAGCTGCCTCCGAAGGCCTAGAAGAAACGTGAGTTGGGAGCCTGCTGCAGGCATCGAATTAGAGAGGACTCTGTGACCTTTGGACAGAGGACGAAGGAGGGAGAGGTCAAGAATGGTGCTGGGGTCCTGGGCAAGAAAACCCAAGGAGAGCAGCCACCAAGTCAAGGCCAGGGCCTGGCAGGGCCACTTTGCCCCAGGTGACAGCCAGAGCTTTCAATAAGACAATTAAAAATAATTTAGAGGACAATTTGTGCCTCTGATAACTGTCCGACCTGTTTTGGGCTTAATGGAAGCCCAGAGGCTCTGAGGTAATTAGGAGAACAGTTTGGGCCATAACCGCTTGTCGCAAGGAATCAGGAAGCTGTCAGGTTCTCTGAGAAGAAGGGACCCCAACATTGCTTCCTTCTCACCACATTAGTCTCGAGTTAGACCTTGGCTGCGTGGCTTGGGGAGCTGGGGACTCCACAGACTCCCGACTTGCATTTAAGAACGTGCAGCACCCTTTCCCGAGCTGCAGACACCCATGGGTAGCACAGCTAGGCATGCCCCGGGTGGGGGGAGGGGGAGCTCGGGGCTCGGAGAGGCAGGGCACTGCGGCCTCTGTAGTCACCTTGGCTGCCTGCTTTCCCAAAGATGGTGGCTTCTCTCTCAGCTTTCCTAGGAGGCTGACTTGGAACATAAGTGATTCCCTTATTTGTTTCTTGAATTACCTGGCACAACCTTCCAGAGTGAGAGACACCCTGACTCCAGAGAGTGGGTGCTCAGGGGGCCGACTTCAGCCTTCCAGAAGGACCTCTGGCTGCTGTGGGTGGAGGGGCTCGGGCTTGGCCCTGGTCTCACTGGAGCAGCTGCCCTCCACCCCCTTGAGGTAATTGCGGAACGCTGTGCTTGAAAAGTTGTTGTGGAGCCCTCTGCCCTCTGGCGGGAGATATTTTTACCCGTCTGCCTCCTAGTCGGGCTATTTTTTTTTCTCTTTTTAAGAAGATGCACAGTTCACTGGCTCAGTCCTTGCTTCTCTCACGTGTGCTATTCTGAGCTGGAAGCTGCACTGGTTGCTAAGCAACATATCTGCCAGGGAGGCTTTCTCAGCACCCCCTCTGCATTGTGCTTTAAGCAATTGAGGCATTCCTTTGAGAGAGTACCATGGAACTTAATCATCTCACGAGCTGCTTGGAAAAGCAACTCTACAACCTACCCAGCTACTACTGGTGGGTAATTCGAGAGCAGCTGGGCTGCTGTCAAAGCATTCCCATGACACCTCAGTGAGCTCTAGACTGATGAGGTTCGGGTGACAGAGAGGCTGAGGAACCCACGACGTCTCGTGCCTGGGTCATGCCTTGCTCACATCCATGTGCACAAGGGGCACTGCCTGCATGTATGCAGAGCTGAGAGGGGCCTCAGAGGTCATCCAGACCAACCCATTTTACACACAGGGAAATTGAAACCCAGAGAGGTCAGGGCAATGGTACTGGTTTGCACGGTCGGTAGGTGGTGGGTCAGGACCAGCACCTCCCCAGCCTCCTGGATCATGACCGGCTCCCCAGGCTGCACAGGCAGGGCCAGGGAGGAATTACCGCTCCTGGGTCCTTCTCTGATCCTGGCGCTTGTCCCAGGCAACGCTTTGGGGTCATTGGCTGGGTACATATTGGCTCCCCACTTCCTCAAAGCTGACGTTTCACCAGCACAGAAACTCCAGGCTTCAAGGAGCGGGGGAGGGAGGTGCAGAGAGGGAAGGTTGTTCCAAGTCGATCCTGCCACCTCCCCTTTAGACACATGGAGGGAGCGAGCACGGGAGTGAGGAAACCTGGGTGCTGACAGCTGCGTGAGATGAGCCAGGCACTGTCTTCTCTCTGTTCTAGGCGCAAGGGATACAGCAGCAAACAAAATAAGCCAAATGTTTCTTCTTGTGGAATTTATATTTGGAAGGGCCAGGTGCTAAAGAAAGAAATAGACATATGTAGGGGCCAGTGGTGATGCCTGCTATAAAGAGAAATAATGGAGTGGGGTGCAGGGTTGCAAGCTGGAGGGCTGCTATTTTGTGGTCGGGAAGGTATTCCTGGGGAAGGAACATTGAGCAGAGGCACTCAGGGAATGTGTCAATGTGAGTAACAGAGTGAATGAATGAAATGAACGAATGAATGAAACAGGAGCTCTCAAACCCAGGTTTGTCTGGCTTCACAGCCCCTGTTCTTTACCGCCACAACTGTCTTCTTGCTACGCCCACCCTCCTGTGCAGTCTCACCCAGTGGTTTAGGGCAATTCACTGCCTCTCTCTGGGCCTCAGCTTCCTCATATATAAATGAGCATGTTGCTAGGGTCTTTCAGGATTTAATATGCTAAGTGTTGGATTCGGGTGTTGTCACCTGAGCATACTCACTGGGCACAGCTTCCAGTCATGATTGCAGCCCAGCCCAGCGCCTCAGCTTGCTAGTTCACACCAGCGTTTTGCATCCTGCAAAGCTGACGGCACAGGAGGCCCCTGCCCCTTCCCGCAGTGCGGGATACTCGTGCACATTAGTGACATCTTGAGAAGAAGGAAGAAGCTCAAATTAAGCTGATGCCTGTGGTTTCAGTGATGCTGGTGTGGCATCCTCTGGCTTGGGCAGAATGTGCTAATTCTGTCCTTGAGTCCTCGTAGTTTAAAATGATGCCCCCCGCCCTTGACCCACAGCCCTTTTCATGTTGGTGACCAGAGCTGCCACTCACTAGGCTATTTATGGGGAAATTATGTTCTCCAACAGGTCAGCATCAAGATAAATTCTGCAGACTTGCAGAATCCCCCTTGGTTTTTTCCAGTTGTGTCATGATAAGCAGTAAATCATACCTAATGCATTGCAGATTGTTCAGATCAAATCCTGCTGCAGGCAGAGGACCGGGGGAGGAGGCTCTGGGCTGAGGTAGCCTGCTGATTGCCATCTTCAGCAG